CCTCCAAAATTCTGCAGATAGATTTACAATTGTGAAAAAACAATATGGGTAGCCGGCTTTTGGCCGGCGATTTAAGACTTTATCCTATGGACACACGAAATCTGCAGATATGCGACAGAATCTCCACTTAATAAAAATTGCATCACCATACCTTAATTCGCGTCTTTAACCTTTATAATGCCCATATTGCCTTGAACAATATTACACAATAAAACCAGTAAGGAAAGTAGTAAAGTCGGACTGGGCCGACTATATAATACCCTTCACCAATCTGGAACGATTTTCACGAAGCTTATCGCACATCATTTTACGCTATGCCAAATTTCATGCAAATCGAAAGATATATATGGACTTCGGTGCACCATTTATGGACTTACGGTGCACCCCCCTGCGTACGTCCCTGATGGGAGCTATATCTAAATCTGAACCGATTTTCACGAATCTTAGCAATCATCATTCTAGACTCAATTCAATATGCTATGCCAAATTTCGTGCAAATCGAGGGATATATAGGGACTTTGATGCACCATTTAAATAAAATCGGACAAAAATATTTATTGAAGTTATATCTAAATCTGAACCGATTTTCACAAAATTCAGCACACATCATTCTAGGTTTAATTTAGTACGCTATGAAAAATTTCGAGCCAATAGAAGGAATTTTAATAGGGTTCGTCATTGGACCAAATAAATGAGCTGTGTCAAATTTCATCCAATTCGAATCAAAAATGCGACCTGTACTTTAATAATAATTTAACATGGATAGACGGACGGACATGCATAAATCGACCTAGAAAGTGATTCTATGCATATTCTCGAAAGGAGCCGTGTGTCTATATCGTTTCCTTTTGCCTGTTACAAACATATGCAGAAATTCATAAAACCCTGTACCACAGTGTGGTAAAGGATATAAAAAATGATGAGAAAAAAGCAAGGATCCTAACGGAACTTTGAAGGCCCATATCTCAGGAAATACAGAATTCCGCAAGAAATAAAATAAACATTTCAAAACGATCCGCTGGGGGGCCCAGATTAGACTTAAGTCCAAACGGACTTGATTTTTTTTTTTGAGCCCCCAACCAATATTTCGAGATAATTGCAACACATAAACTAATCATTTAATATAGCTGGAGGTTATATACAGTTTCATGACCTTATGTATGATTCACAAAAAATAATAAAAAAATTCCAAAATCTGCAAATTGATTCTTCGAAAGACCAAAGTAACTGTGAAACACAATTTACATTTAGCATTAGAAGAAGTTTGAAGGACAAACCAAATACCTGCTCAAAAAATAAGGTTAATAGCAAACCAAAAAAAAATGTAAAATAAAAATTCCAATGAATTTGTATATTCGTGAACTTTAAAAGCCAAAGAGGACAACCGAAAAAGTAAAAAAACCAAAAGCAAAACTTGTGAAAAAAATTGCAAATCTCGGTGAATGTCACTCTCTGCTTGTCTGCTGGAACGACACAATTTGTCTGAGTTGCAATGCAAACCAAAATACTAACCCACACACAGGCACACAGCTATATACATGTATATGTGTATATATGTGTGTATATACAAATGAAAACAATTTGCCAACTTTACGCTTTAATCTTTATCTGTCTAGCAATTCCATGAAAATATATGTCAACTGTGAATGTTTGTTTGTCTGGCCTGCCAGGAGACTCTGCGACATAAGTCAACATGTCAGTATTTACGACAATATGTATGTGGCTGTATGAGTGTGTGTGTGTGTGTGCGGTATGCTGTCAGTGTTAGTCAGTTACAACTGAATCCCATCGTGTCCGTGTAAGTGACAGTGGCTAAAACAATCCTAGCATTCCACATCTCTCTCTCTTCCTCTGACAAAATGATGATGGCAAAATTAATTTGAATTTCATGTAGTCGTCGCTACCATCGGTAATAGGATCAGTTCCAAGGGTTCTAGCCCAGAGTGTGTTGTCCGACTGCATTTACATGTGAGCAGAAGTGACTATTGCATTCGCCACTTTTATTTTCATCTTCTTTAATAACCGTTCGTGAGCCCACAACGTTGCTGTGTGGCTGGTTGACTATTCGGTATCGGTATTCTAGTGTGTGTGTGTGTGTTGGTCGCCATAGTGTCATAGTTTTGCTATCCACTGGATAATAAACGTCAAGTGTACATGTAATGTCACTTGCAAAATCCAACATTTTCATTCCTAAGTAATTATGTTATCATGTCCTTCATGCTCTTCAATCATAAAAACCTAAATCCGCCTCTAAGGTTTGTTAAACAATTTTATTTATTTACACAAATTAGAAGACACTAAATAATAGAGTGTATCAATCGGTGTTGTCGACAGTCAGACTAAAACGTTGATATATATTTATCCGAACATATGCTATTAGAAAAAGCCTGCCTTGTTTGAGGTCATGTGTTGGAATCGATAACTTATATTTTCAATATCAATCTAAATGTTTAATATAAATAACAACCAGTTCCATGAATGTCAATTTGACTATATGTGGCCAATAATCGTCTGTAGGTACCAAAAAGTAGCAACCATATTCAGATTGGAATACCCGATTTAAGCCAAATAGTCGATTTTCACAATCCTCCCTAGATACCAATTTTTTATCATTATAGACATTTTGCAATGCAAGAAAAATATGATAATCACTTGGTGCCAAGCCCGGACTGTAGGGTGGATGCATTGAAACTTCCCAACCAAGCTCTCGAAGTTTCTGGCGAGTCACTGTAGATGTGTGTGACCTAGCGTTGTCCTGGTGGAAAACGACACCTCTCCTGTTGGCCAATTCTGGTCAATTGTAAATGGTTTAAAACAGTTTTATGGTCGATTTTTAGCTCCTGGGTGATGTTACGACTGCTAACATGCCGGTCAAATTCGATCATTTATCCGATTTTATCGACCAAGATGTGCAAGGTGCATCTTTTGGCTGGCATAATTGGCTTTTACAGTATCGGAACCATAAACATATATTGGTTCCTTGGTGCGTCAATTACTTAAAATCAATCGATAATATGTACGGGAGCTATATCTAAATCTCAACCGATTTTCACGAAACTCAGCACACATCATTACAGACTCAATTCAGTACGCTATGCCACATTTCGTGCAAATCGAAAGATATATAGGGACATTGGTGCACCTTTTACATTAAATCGGACGAAAATATATATGGGAGCTATATCTAAATTGGACCGATTTCCACGAAACTTGGCAGACATCACTCCAGGTTGAATTCAGTACGTCCTGCAAAATTTCGAGCAAATCCAGTGATATATAGGGACTTTGGTGCACCTTTTGCGTTAAATCGTGCGAAACTATATATGGGAGCTATATCTAAATCTGGACCGATATTCACGAAACTTGGCAGACATCACTCCAGGTTCAATTCAGTATGCCATGTCAAATTTCGGCAAAATCGAAATATATATAGGGAGTTTGGTGCACCTTTTGCATTAAATCGGGCGAAACTATATATGGGAGCTATATCCAAATCTGGACCGATATTCACGAAACTTGGCAGATATCATTCTGTGCTCAATTCAGTACGTTATGCCAAACTTCGTGCAAATCGAAAGATATATAGGAACTTTGGTGCACCATTTACATGAAATCGGGCGAAACTATATATATATGAGCTATATCTAAATCTGAACCGATTTTCACGAAACTTGGTAGCCATCACTCCAGGTTGAATTTAGTACGCCATGCAAAATTTCGTGCAAATCGAATGATACATAGAGACTTTGGTGCACCATTTACATGAAGTCGGGTGAAACTATATATGGGAGCTATATCTAAATCTGCACTGATTTTTCCCAATTTCAATAGGGTTCGTCCTTCGGCCAAATGAATGAGCTGTGCCAAATTTCATCCAATTCGAATCAAAAATGCGACCTGTACTTTGTTTACAATTTAACATCAACAGACGGACGGACAGACGAACAAGCATAAATCGACTCAGAAAGTGATTATATGCATATTCTCAAAAGGAACCATTGTTCTATTTCGATTCCTTTTGCCTGTTACAAACATATGCACAAAAATATTTTTTTATTGCGAAATATCACCCATCCAATGAGCATACATTCGAAATTGTTTGATCGATACTTTACGAAAAATCTATCAGTACAGCCATCTGTTCAAAAAATAATGGATTTCTTTTTCTCCAACCTAATATATATAAGGATTTGATAAAATCGGTTAGCCAGACAGGCGGACTTTTAAAAATCGACTCCAGATTGTCTGAAACGGATCAATGTTCCAATCTTTCTAATATTATACATTTATGTTCAATCCGGTTAAAACACGTTTTTATTATCAGAAAATCGAGTTCAAGAATTTTGGGTTTCGGATATGTATCTTGCAATATATGGTTTCTAAGCAAAGATCGGATAAAAGTGGAAAAAGACGATGAAAACATGTGAATATAGATTTCATGGCTTGCAGGACCCTATCTAAATTCTTATGAGTGACATTTTTTTTGTGTTTACTTTACTGTTCATGAAAGCAAAGACTAATAATATAAAAATACGCCTACTTCGATTTGACTGAAAACATGTGAAAATTAGTCGCGCCATACTTCAACTAATTGACTTATGGCGAATTTGACCTCCTGATGTCATAATATACTCAAAAAGGATTTTCATCCACATAAAGAAATTTTCAATCCAAAAAAATCTTGTTGCATCTTGTTGTGTTACTTTCCTTCTTTCGGTTATCGAAAGTTCCAGTTAGTATGGAATTTATAATCAAACATTTAGCTCCTTTTCCTTCTACCGGACATTTATGTGTCAATACTAACATATTTCCAAAATATTCCTCTTCCAAATGATTTTTTATTGTTCTTCGAATAATTTACAACAAATATGTACTCAGTTAAGTTATTAAAAAAAAGTTATCTCAATATTGTATAACTTCACTTACCTACCAATCTGTCATTCATTGCAAATAATTTGTGTACGTTTTTCAACCCATTTTCTTCTTCCCTTTTTTTACAGCTGCAACAATAATAACGTTACGCGGCTCCAGCTATGTTTCATATCGCATTTACGATTGGAAGGATCGCGTTCATTCGTCAACGACACGTATCAGCCTCATGTTTCGCACACAATTCGATGATTCTGCTCTGTTCTATGCGAGCGGTGAATCGCTCAAACATCAGTACATCGCCGCATCCATTAAAAATCAGTCAATTTATGTTGAAATGGATTTCGGTGACATACCCATGTCCACCGTCCTGACGGATGAGCTGACACGTAATAATTGGCACAATTTGACCATTTCGCATGAACAGCGTACGGTGCGCATTATACTCGACCAGCAGATGAAGATACTCGAAATACCAGCTACAGTGAGTGGCAACCTACTCTTCGATCCGGAAATTTATTTTGGCGGCGGACCGGATTTGCATAAGAAGAAGGGTCTGGCATCGCATAATAATTTCGTCGGTTCGTTAAAGAATGTCTACTACAACGATGTGTCCATATTGTATGAGCTGCATCGTGGCAATCCGAAAGTTCACTATCATGGTAAGTATGAACACACACACACACATATATCTCGAAAACGAAAAAAATACAAATCTACGTGCAGGATATTTGGATTATGGGTGGGTATTTGGGTAAAGGGGCCAATAGTTGGCATTACCCCATCTTCCCCTCCTTTTCAGTAGAATCATGCAATGGCCAAATAAGCGAATGAGGCCATCAAAAATCTACAAATGGATACAAGCTTACATTTGTTGTATACAAAAAACATATACACACACACACTCACAAAAAATATGTTGCATGTCTGACTAGTATGCTGCATCTGCTTGCTATGCTTCCGTGTATACCATTCATGTACATGCATGCATCCATACACACTCTCACACATATCTGTGTTGCTCTATAATCTTGTTTTCCTGATGTGCATGTGCAGAGATAATGTATATTTATGACACAATGGGTTATAAGAATAATTTGTTAAAAATCTGTATAATCCGAATGGGGTTTTATTATTGAACAAATTAAAAGTACAATTTTTTTCATTCACTTTTGGCTGACAGAGTTCCCATGTGATATGATGGTGGGCATTTGGGAAGATAGGATAACATTTGCCATACAATACCGCCATAGATTTTTGTATGGTCTGCAAGGGGAATATTTAATTTTCATTTGCTTTGATAAGACATCCGATTTTCTTCGATGACACTGATCTTCTTTAGACTTTCTGTCATTTCATATTTCGTGAGGACATTACGTCCTTCTGTATTGTTCTTCTCTAACAGATATTATGGTATTCTCTTAAAAGATATTACATAAGAAGTGTCCTCCATAAAAATAACTTTTGCTCTCCCACAAGAAGTATTTTTGATTTATACAAGAACATCTTCTAGTCTTATGTTAAAATAAGACCACGATACTCCTCTTACCCATATAGACCTTCGGATATTCTACGAGACATTTATTGGGTCTTCTATAATATTCTAGAAGAAAGCCTCTGTCCTTCTATACAATGACTTTATGGCCTTCTATAAGGAGAACAGGTGATATTCTATAAGATTGCCTTTTGTTCTTCTTCCTCCTGGTATTCTATAAGATTGTGATACTTTAAAAAATTGTCTGGTCTTCTACAAGAAGATCTTCTGGATTTCTACAAGAAGACCTCTAGTCTTCTATAAAAAATCTCTTTTGTCTGCTCTAATAAATCTGATATCCTATAAGAATACCTTCTGCCTGCTGGAGCAGGTCTTCCTAAAGAAGACTTGGTGTTCTATAGGATAAACATTTGTTTTGGGAAAGCCTTCTGTAGGAATACCTTTTAGCCCTTTGGTCTTCCATAGAGTATTCTATAGGAAAATCTACCGGAAGGTTTTCTATAGAAGACCTTGTGTTCTATAGGGTGAACATTTGTTATACCCTTCACCACACTGTGGTACAGGGTATAATGTCTTTGTGCATAAGTTTGTAACAGACAAATGGAAACGAGATAGACACATGCTTCCTTTTAAGAATATGCATAGAATCGATATACGCATGTCCGTCGGTCTGTCGGTCCATGTATTTTTGTGAACAAAGTACAGGTCGCATTTATTATCCAATTTGGATGAAATTTGGCATAGGTCACTTATTTGGCCCAAGGACGAACCCTATTGAAATTGGGAAAAATCGGTTCAGATTTACATATAACTCCCATATATATTTTCGTCCGATTTAATGTAAATGGTCCACCAAAGTCCCTATATATCCTTCGATTTTCACGAAATTTGGCACAGCGTAATGAATTAGGTTTAGAATGATGTGTCTTAAATTTCCTGAAAATCGGTTAAGATTTAGATATAGCTCCCAAATATATATTTGCCCAATTTAATGTAAATGGTGCTCAAAGTCCCTATATATCTTTCGATTTGCACGAAAAGTGGCATAACGTGTGTGTTGATGTGTGTTAAGTTTCTTGAAAATCGGTTTAGATTTAGATATAGCTCCCATATATATTTTCGTCCGGTTAAATGTAAATGGTCCACCAAAGTCCCTATATATCTTTCGATTTTCACGAAATTTGGCACAGCGTAATGAATTAGGTTTAGAATGATGTGTGTTGAGTTTCCTGAAAATCGGTTAAGATTTAGATATAGCTTCTATATCTGACCTAAAGAAAAATTTAGTATCGGTTGCAGAATGACATGTTTATGGATCCAATTTCATTTTACTTGTCCTTTAAAAATGCGACCTTTGTTAGGATTCATCTGTTAAACATACACAAAGTGATGAAGGGTATCATATAGTCGGACCCGTCCGACTTTACTACTTTCCTTATTGTTTTTTTCCGGAATATGTTTTGGGTTTCTTTAGGATAGTCTTCTGTATGAAGACCTTCTGGTCTCTTTAAAAGAAGGAAGACTTTCTGGTCTTCTATTGGTAGACCTTCTGATCTACTATGAGAAGATCTTCTGGTCTCCTATAGGAAGATCTTCTGATCTCATATAGGTAGGCTTTCTGTTCTTCTATAGGAAGATCTTCTGATCTCATACAGGAAGGCTTTCTGCTCTTCTATAGGAAGACCTTCTGGTCTTCTATAGGTAGACCTTCTGGTCTTCTATGTGGTCTTCAATCGGAATACCATGTTGTATTCTATAAGAGGACCTTCTGCTCTTCTACAAGAAAACCTTCTTGTCTACTATAAGAGGACCTACTGGTATTCTTCTTATAAAGGAAGATCTATTAGTATTCTATAAAAATACCTTCTAGTTATCTATAGGAAGACTTTCTTGACTTCTAAGTTAAGTCCTACAGGTCTTCTATAGAAAGACCTTCTATAAGAACACACTCTTAGTGTTCTGTAGAAGGCCTCTGGGTTTAATTGTGTTAGAAGAAAAGATTTTATTATATTGCAAGAAGACCTTTAAGACTTCTATTAAAACTCCATTTGGACTTTTTCAGGTCTTCTGTAGAAAAAACAAAATTCTGATCTTCTGGTCTTCTGGTCTTTAAAGGAAGACCTACTGGTGTTCTGTATGAAGACTTTCTTGTCTGCTATGACAAAACCTTCTGGTCTTCTATAGGAGAACTTTCTTGACAGTAAAAAATTATCTTCTATAGGAAGGCCTCTTTGTCTACTTCTTGGCCTGATAAAATAAAGACCACCTATCATTTTATAAGAAGACTTGACTCTGGTCTATACGAGCAACTCCTGATCATTTATAAGAAGATGTTCTGGTCTTTAAAAAACCTACTTCTTATCCTTAATGATATTACTTTTATACGATCACCTTCAACCTGTCTAGGATCTTTGCTAGAAAGACACTCTCATCTTTTAAAGAAAGACACCCTCTTTTTATGTATGGGAAAGCCTACGACCTTATATGTGATTACCTTCATTTGGCCATTCATGAGCAGATGATTTGTGTATTCCATACTTCTCCTCTGCCAATAAAAGACCTCTAACCACTTTCCGCCCTTAATATTCCCTTTTGTAATAACCCTATTTATGTTATGGTCTTTATCTGACTGGTACTTTACTTCATTTAATGGGTCTTATGTTACATAATTATCTCATATAATTAAAAACGGTTGCACGGCTATTTTAAATGTTTATCTAAATAAATTTAAGCACTCACACCCGTGGCAACGAGGTGCATTTAAATGTAGCTACAAACGTGTGTATGTATGTCATGTATGTTATGTCATTTACTTTACTGCACAAGTTAATGTCATGCTGGGAGGATGCCAACGAGACCAAAAAAAAAAAAAACAACGAAATAACAACTGCGGATAAAATTGTAAACCAAGTCAGTGACGAAGGGGGAGGTGTGGTATTTTTAGTAAATGACCCAAATTAAATTAGTAATGTAGAATATTAAATTTTATTTATAATAAATAACATTCTCAAGGGACATGTCAAAATGTAAAAAAAAAAATTGGAAGGAAGGATATGTTGAGGTGTAAATAGTTGTGAATGTGATTTAGAGTTTAAATTCCCTTTCGACATTTAAATTAAAATTTTACATTTCTGATCACGTTTTCTATACGAATAGCATCACTGGACAATTACTAGAATGTACTGTAGAATATTATGATATAAATTTTGGAAAAAAGCCATTGATTAACATCATTTACTTGTTTCCTATTTGAAAATATTCTCTGCTTCTGCATAAAGAAACCAGTAAGGAAAGCTCAAAAGTCGGACTGGGCCGACTATATGATACCCTTCACCACTTTGGGTACATATAAGAGATGTTAGTATCTACAATATCTAAACTTGGAGGACCTTTGAGATGGAATCGGGCGAAATTAAATGTGCTATCTAGATATATATTTGAACCAATTAAAAAATCCCATACACATACCATTCCGAAATCTGTGAAAAATTGCATGTAAAAGGGCAGACTTGGATTCTTTGGTGTACTATTTGTATGAAATCGAGTAAAATTATGTATGGGAGCTGTATATAAACAAATGGACCTATATCAAAATCTGAACCGATTTCAACAAACCTTAACACACGCCATTCTAGACTTATTTCAGTACGCCATGCCAAAATTCGTGCAAATCGAATGATTTTCAGGGACTTTGATGCACCATTTACCTAAAATCTGAAACGATTTTCACGAAACTTTGCACACGTCATTCTGCACATAATTCAGTACGCTATACCAAAATTCGTGCAAATCTAATGATTTTCAGGGACTTTGGTGCACCATTGACCTAAAATCGGGAGAAACTATATATGGGAGCTATATCTAAATCTGAACCGATTATCACGAAACTTAGCACACATCAATCTAGACTTAATTCAGTACGCTGTGCCAAAATTCGTGCAAATTGAATGATTGTCAGGGACTTTTGTGCACCATTTACCTTAAATCGGACGAAAATATATATGGGAGTTATATCTAAATCTGAACCGATTTTCTCCAATTTCAATTGGGTTCGTCCTGGGCCAAATAAGTGACTTGTGCCAAATTTCATTCAATTCCGATTATAAATGCGACCTGTACTTTGTTTACAATTTAACATCAACAGACGGGCGGACATGCATAAATCGACTCAGAAAGTGCTTCTATGGATATTCTCAAAAGGAACCATGGGTCTATCTCGATTTTTTTTTTTTTTGCCTGTTACAAACATATGCACAAAGACATAATACCCTGTACCACGGTGTGGTGAAGGGTATAAACATTCAGATACCTTATGAGAAGGCGTGATCTTCTCGGATGTGGCTTAAGATCTCTCATAAAATATTTTTTCTGGATTTCTATAATAAAAACATTTCCAGTCCATGATAAGAACTTAGGGCATTCTAATAAAAATTGACTGAAGACCAATCCTGGTCTGCATATAAAATCATTTCGTTTTTTCAGAACGTATGATCTCGTATAAGTCCTTTATTTTTTCATGAGAGGAAGGTTCCAATGGATTGGGAAGAATTCATTTCAGTTGAATTCATTTCAGTTGTTAGTTTTAAGATCATTCTGTTAGAAGAAAATATTTTATTATATTGCAAGAACACCTTCAGGACTTCTATTGAAACTCCCTCTGGTCTTTTTTAGATCTTCTGTAGGAAGATATCCTTATCTGCTAAAGGAAGACCATCTGGTGTTCTATAGGAAGACTTTATTGTCTTCTATGATAAAACCTGCTGGTCTTCTATAAGAGGACTTTCTTGACGATAAAAAAATATATTCTAGTCTTCTATAGGAAGACCTCTTTGTCTGCTTCTTGGCCTGATAAAATAAAGACCATCTGTCCTTTCATAAGAAGAACTAATTCTGGTCAATATAAAGAAAACTTCCACTCTTCTGGTCCTGGTCTGCCTAAGAAATCATTTCATTTTTTCAGAATGTAAGATCTCGTATAAGTCCTTTGTTTTTTCATGAGAGGAAGGTTCGTATGGATTGGGAAGAATTCATTTCAGTTGTTAGTTTTAAATAAGATGACACTAACAGATGCAGTCCTTCTTTTCCTATTCATATATTTTTCAGGACAATAAGTATACGTCATCAGGAATTTCATGATCATCCCCATGGCTTATTCCTTCATTTCAATTTCCAAAATTTATTTCTCATGCCTGCAATAATTTATTTGACTTCAATATGTGTTTTTTTTTCGAAGATAGCCAATATCCTTAATTGTATAGCTATGAATGATATCAAAAGTTGAATCAACTTAAAACATATTCTCTTTATCTCTATTCACCATCCTTCGTTCTGCACTGAATATTAATAAATCATGAAATATTCAATATTTCAATTGCGTACGAAACTGAATTTTTACAACTATCCATTCGCCCGAATGTAATGTCAGCCAGGAATCATTTCACTTTTACCAATTCACACTACTATTGTAGACAATGGTGCCCTGCTGCCCTGTCTCTCCTTTACAAAGCGAAGAGGATAAGCTATGTAATAAACTTTTGCAAATTTGTACGATGCAAATTGCATAAATTTGAAAATTTTAACATTTTCTTTCATTTTTGTTGTTGTTGTAGCTGTAACTATTCCAATCTATATTTAATGTTTGTATGAATGTGTCTACTTCTTCCTCTTTTCCTGTCATTCTTTTAGGTGTTCTGGAAGCGGAATTTCAAGAAAACGATGTGAATGTCATACCAATAACGTATCCTTTTGCGACGTCACACATTTGGTGGCCCATAAATCATGCCGAAGAATTTAATATCAAGTTCGATTTCCGCAGTAGCCGTACAGCGGCTATACTGGCATACAGCGATGTGACAACACAAGACGGAAATGGTTTCTGGGAGGTAAGTGTCGAATAAATGTCTTAAGAATGATTCTGTGAGTGACAGACTGACTGACGAACGGAATGAATAACCGACTGACGGAATGTGAGTTTTTCTGTCTATTTGACAGTGTAATATATAGAGTGTGAATCGCATATATATTCTAAAACAGACGATACACTGCACATTGCAATATTGGAGTGTATTTGTAAGTAGTGAAGTTATGATATTTCGTGTGTGTGAGTGAGTATGGGTGGGAATATCCTTAAATAAATGATTATGCCATATTGCACAAATCGACGAACGCTTAAAATTGTGAGATTCCAGGAAATTTGAAGACGAGGGCTGATTGGGCAATGTCAAAAATATGTAAAAACCAGCAAGCGGTGCAGTATAGTCGGACGGGGCCGACCATATGATACCCTACAAATCTTCCACGATAACTAACTGTGTGTGGTTCTACATTCTAGCTTGAGAAATATTTCGTGATATTTGCAATCTCTTGACCGACTAGAGGTCAACAAATGTTACTAATATTCAGTACAGCCTTTCTAATTACTTGTCCAACATCCATTCGCCGTGTGTTGTGTTGTGATGTTCGGCTTTCAATTGTGGCCTATGATCAGTGTTGCCAATTTAGCACTTTTAGTGCTAGATTTAGCACGTTTTAAACTCCTTTAGCACCAAAAAAATCACTCTAGCACCTAGCACTTTTTTTAGCATTTTTAATTTGTTCCAAGATTTTTTCAAAATTCTTAGTATCACTTCAAAAAATTGTCGTTTTTCGATTTCATATCGACACATTGAAGTTTCTGTATGTTTTACATGGTGGATTTGATTTTCCTATGTTTTTCCAGTGATTGGAGCAGTATGGTCGACGGGGCTATCCATATGATGATGATATGAAACTACCACAAGACTTAAATTTTCTGCGAAACTTATTGCCGTGTCGGTGGAAAATTCTGCGATATGTCCACCTCCTGGGTTATAATAATACTACAATATCAGAACATAACATGTAAAAATGATTTTAAGTTTGGCCCGTCCGAACTTTTTATATCCTCCACCATGAGGATGAACATCAAAATATCTAAAATTAATTGGGCCTCATAGGAGAAAACTCATGTTATGATAGAACCCTGAACATACCGAAAATACGTGGTAAACAGATATTGAAATTCTCGAAAGATCCAATAGTAGGGCTATCAAATTACAGTCAATTCGGCCGTTATGAGAACCCAAAATACAAAATTACATCCAATTTGATAGAAAAAGTGTAAAAAACCCCATATTAAGTGGGCTAACCTTGAACGTGGGTCAGTATTAAAAAAAATAGTACGGAAATGTGCTATACAATGTGAACCCAAAATATAAAACTACAGCCAATTTGATTAAAAGACGGGTCAAAAAATCCTATATTGGCAGGTACAATATTACGCCGGATAAAAAAGAAACTAGACCTCAAGCTTGAACAAATATATTGTTTTATTAGTATAATCATCAAAAGGTCGAACAAAACCACACAGAATAAAGCTGATTGAGAATATACAGTAGAACTTCGACAATTCGTACCTCGATAATTCGTAACAAACTGTCGGTCCCTTGAAAAATCTCGATATTCGTATTTTTTTATTTTAACCTCGTTAATTCGTAATCTCGATAATTCGTCATCTTCGATAACTTGTAAAAATTTGCTGGTCCCTTGAATTACGAATTATCGAAGTTCTACTGTATATGTAATACTTTGTGGTGTCTCCGGTGAATATTTCGACGTGTTGCAAACGGAATGACAAATTTAATATAGACTCCACTTTATGGTGGAGGTTATAAAACACTGTGAACAATTTAGTGTATATAAAACAATATAATTTAAATAAATTTAAGGTTAGCTTGACTTCTCTTGGCCAGAAAAAATGTCATGGAATTTGTTTTAATTGTCTTCCTAAAGCCTAGGTTCATTTAATTAAAGAAATATTGACAGATCATTATCAAAGCAGCCATGGTTTTTGTTGAGTAGATTTCCCGTATTTATTGGATTATTGGTGTTCGGGTTATCAAGAAAAAAAAACATGAAGATCCGTATACTAAAATGTGCGTCCAGGACCAATATTTCGTGACGTTACAAGCTGTTGTAACACAAATACATATAACATCCCCACAAAATATAAAATATAATCAAATTTCTTTATATTCATTTTTAGCACTTTTTTCTGGCACTTTTGTAAAATTTTTAGCACTTTTTAGCATATTTTTCAACAAAATCTAGCACTTTTTCTCAATCAAGTTTTGGCAACACTGCCTATGATCGACAAGAAAAACATAAAAAATTAAGTTTTCGGTCCAGTTCATCCCAATCAGATATTATGATCATAACCGAAAATTAAATTCGTGGTACTTGACCATACCTCGATCCTCATGAAAAATTTAAAAGCGATCAGAGATACATTTCCGCTATCTAGTGTGGTAATGGGTTACTAAATAATATATGAATACATAAGCACCTGTAAATATTTAAGTTTATCTAGTGTGGTAATGGGTTACTAAATAATATATGAATACATAAGCACCTGTAAATATTTAAGTTTAACTCCCACATCTGAGTGCATACGACCATATAATTGGTATCAGTTTAAAGGTCAACCACTCGTCTCGGGTCTTTGTTCTTCAAGGGTTAATATATACGCTATGGAATACAAATTTTGTCATTTTTCACACAAAAGTCAGGGTCCATTTGACCCGCTAAATATTGACCGATCTTTATCAAAAAAGACATCCTTATTCTTTGGCCCAATCCCCTTCTCCATGCAAAAATTCACGGTGTTTGGGCCATAATTGCGGCCTCTGGAGCGACCAGAAAAACCGACACAAATAATGTTTTTGGTCCATTTCATCCCCTAAATATTAACCGATCTTTTCCAAAAACAATAGGGGTCTTCATTTTCCAGAACCCATCCTACATGCAAACTTTCGTGAAGATTGGTCCATAACTGTGGCCTGTATCGTGTTTACATATTATAATGGACAGACGGACGGATGGACACACATGTCTAGATGAGAGTTATCGTTCCACTGGAAATGAGAGTTATCGTTCCACTTCTTCCAGTACCTTCCCCACAAAGGATCAATATTTTACAAACTTCTAAGTTTCACATGAAGCTATCGCAATATCATCGAAACTTTACACAACGTAATGTTTTTACCTCACCTGGATCATTAATTTTAATAACCATGCCTGTATAATTTTGGAAAATCGGACTTATCAATCCACCTCTTCTAGTACCTTCCGAGCAAAGGATAGGAATATTCAATGTCAGTGAAACTTTGCACTTGGTAATGTCTTAACCTAACTTGGATCATGTCCGAAAATGGGATCGGTCGGTGCACTCCATCTGGTACCTTTATCACAAAATGTAAAAATGTTGTAAATTCTCATCCAATATCAAGCGAATCATAGCCTAGATTAAGACCGAATATCGGTCCAATTCGTTTACCCCACAAAGGGCCAACATTTTGAAAATTTGGTAATTCAATACCAATCTAATGGTGTGTACTAAATATTTACTTTCATACTTAAATAAATATCTGAGATTGGACCCATCGGTCCACTACTTCTGGCATCTACCCCACAAAATGGTAAAAATTGTGCTGAAAATTAAGTTTATTCGTAATATTTTTATTTATCGTAATATTTTTATCAAGCCTGTATAATGTTGGAGGGTGGGACTGATCGGTATACTACTTCTAGTACCTCTCCCCCAAAGAGACAAAATTTTGAATTTTTGTAAATATCATATTTAGGGAACGGAATATTAGGATTTAAAATATTGCACATCATACTATTTTTGACAAGTCTAGATTAAATCCGAAAATTGGACCCAACGTCCACTCCTTCTGTCAACGTGTTGAAAATTCGTTAATACAACTTCTTGAATGGCTATCATGCCATATTCATTTATAAATTTGTATGTATATCGTCGTCTCATGCTATCTAAATGACGCAAATTTATGTTAGCCAAAAAACCTTAGCTCCTCTTGAAAACAATAAAAGTAGTGGTGGGTATCTTAAAGTCGGTCCTGATCTAATGACAAATTATGTACTGGGTTTGCCGCAAGGTAATGGATTGCATATATCGGTTTTTACATATTCAACTAAGAATCCCATATTATATAGATCATTTAAGATCTATTAAATAATTAAGTTGTATAATCTTGATTGGAAATGGCTACGCCTCTGCCCAGTCATATTTTTTCTGATTCCAATACACTGATTTTACAACTGTACCATAATTTTGTTAAAAATATAAAAATAGGTAACACAATTGTTGTGGGTAAAAATGTTAATTCAAGGTCAAGAGCAGGTCAGATTGATAAGGTCATACGTGACAAATTCACTTACACCTGGCGTTAGTCAGGAAGTTAAGATTAAACTAACTAACCACATATGCATGAATGATTGTGATCACTTACTTAACATGTATTTTTTTCAACTAAATACATGCTACCTAGGTAGCAAAAATGCGTCGTTGGTAAAAATGTACAGTAGTGGCTAAAAATCTTAAACCCTGTTTGCGAACAGGTAACCACAATAATTAGTACAAATACTAAAACCCCATTGGCTAGTCGCAAAAACATGTTTTAATTTTAATAACCTACACACTTACGAATGACCTTGCCCTCATTGAGGTAAAAAATGAGATCAAAAACAAATGTCTATTCAAAGGGAATAGGCACTCGTGGAATACCTAGTAACGCTAACTAAATGTAGTACAAAATACCTGTACTAACATTTTAGTATAAAAACTAGACACATCTCTGCAGTGAAGTATCATTCGTTGTAAAACCTTTTCAAATTAAACATCACAAGGAATCACCATGGAAGATAAATCCATCACTTACGTTCTATTCATGTACCGCGAACAATTGCGTAAAGCAGATACATCATCGATGCGTCTAAATCGCACCAAACTAACACTCACCGATAAACTGATCAAGAAAAATGTGAGCAATCTGAAAAAGTGCAG